AAAGAGAACAATCGAAGCACTCATAAACCTATTACTTCCAACACAAACTCAAGAAAAAGAGATATATATGATGAATCAAAGTCATTGTTTCTGCTTTTCTGGTATTATTACCATCTTTTTCTCCCTCCTATTACACAATCTTGCTTCTCCTACGCTCCACGCTTGCCGCCACGACCAGAGGGGCGCTCTTTTGGAATTCAGAGACGAGTTTCCGATCGATGTGTCTAACCAAATTCTGTGGAAGAAGAGCACTGATTGCTGTCTTTGGGAGGGTGTAACATGCGATGATAAATCTGGCCAGGTGATATCACTCGACCTTAGTTACATCTCTTTCAACAGCTCTTTGAAAACTAACAGTAGCCTTTTTAGACTCCAATATCTTGGTCACCTAGACCTTAATAGTTGCCATCTCCAAAGAGAGATTCCTTCTTCACTAGGACGCCTCTCTCGTCTCACATTTCTTGACCTTTCTTACAATAGTCTGGTAGGTGAGATCCCGGCTTCAATAGGCAATCTAAACCAGCTCAGAAACCTTAGCCTTGGGAGTAACAGCCTCATAGGAGAGATTCCTTCTTCACTAGGAAACCTTTCTCGTCTCTTAGAACTTGAACTTGGTTATAATCAGCTGGAAGGTGAAGTTCCAGCTTCCATCGGAAACCTAAAAGAGCTAAGAACCATGTGGCTTGGCAATAATAGCTTAAGTGGCAATATTCCTATTTCCGTTGCCAATTTAACCAATCTTTCCTTTTTTAGTATCAGCGCTAATAACTTCACATCCACGCTTCCATCTGACATGAGTGGATTCCACTACTTGGAACATCTTGATGTTAGTGAAAACTCAATTCTAGGGCCTTTCCCTAAATCTTTGTTCACGATTCCTTCGTTACAATGGGTTGATTTGGGAGGAAACCAATTCACGGGACCTATAGAGTTTGTGAATATATCTTCATCATCGAAGCTTCAGTATCTATACATTACTAATAACAGATTCGATGGTCCAATCCCGAAATCTATTTCTGAATTTTTGAACCTCGAACTGTTAGATCTTAACCACAACAAACTCACTGGGCCAATCCCTAGTTCTATATCAAAGCTAGTCAACCTCATACGGATAGATCTTAACAACAACAAACTCACTGGGCCAATCCCTAGATCCATATCAAAGTTAGTCAACCTTGGTTATATTAACCTTAACAACAACAAGTTGGAAGGTGAAGTACCAAGTAGCTTACTGGGGTTGGTGACAGTGTGGCTTTCTCTGAATAATTTCAGTAGTTTTGGAGAATATTCACAAGAAACATCGGTCCAACAGTTCGATGTGAGTATGAATTCATTCCGAGGACCAGTTCCCCTTTGGATCTGCAAGCTTAAAGGCTTACGCTTGTTAGATTTGTCCGACAATCTCTTCAACGGCTCCATTCCTCCATGCTTAAGTATTCATTTGACAAAGCTAGGTTTGCAGAACAACAACTTCAGTGGAACTCTTCCAGATATGTTTGCCAATGCTACAGATTTGAGATTGTTGGACGTTAGTCGCAACCAGCTGGAGGGAAAGTTTCCAAAGTCATTGGTCAATTGCAAAGGTCTGGAATTTGTGAACGCGGAAAGCAACAAATTCAAAGACACGTTCCCGTCGTGGTTGGGATCTCTACCATCATTACATGTTCTCATCCTCAGATCAAACGAGTTATACGGGCCGTTGTATCATCGCCCMATGTCCATCGGGTTTCAGAGCTTAAGAGTCATTGATATTTCACACAACAACTTGAGTGGAACTCTTCCACCTTACTATTTTTCCAGCTGGAGTGAAATGACCGCGTTAACCGACGAAAATGGCCAGTACATGAATGATTTTGCGAATTATTCTATTATCTATCAGTCGATGGAAATGGTGCTTAAAGGAGTATACCTGAAGTTTGATTTCATCAACCAAGACTTCCGAGCCATTGATTTTTCTGGAAACAGAATTTATGGCAAAATCCCTGAATCCGTTGCCTTCTTGAAGGAACTACGTCTTCTCAACTTGTCAGGTAACGCGTTCACAAGCGGTATCCCACGAGTCTTGGCAAATTTGACAAAGCTCGAGKCAYTAGACCTATCMCGSAACAAGYTGTCWGGTCAAATCCCTSAWGAWCTTGGYAAMCTCTCATTTCTGTCATACATGAACTTCTCCCATAACCATCTCCAAGGTCCACTGCCACGGGGCACACAGTTTCTAAGGCAAAACTGTTCTTCATTCTCGGACAACCCTAGACTCTTCGGTCTCGAAGATATTTGTGGAGAAACCCGTGTTCCGAATCCTACACCATCACAGCAACCGGAGGAATTGTCAGAGTCGGAGGAAGAAATGTTCAACTGGGTAGCAGCTGCAATAGCGTATGGACCTGGTGTTTTCTGCGGATTGGTGATCGGATATATCTTCACTTCACGCAATAAAGAGTGGTTCACAGAGAAGTTTGGTCGAAGAAAACTCAGAGGCACCACGAGAGCTCGTCAAGCCCATCTCTGACCGTCCCTCTAATAAGCATATGTTGTTGTTCGTGTTTGTACTGAATAATTGCCAGGTGTCTTCTCCAAGACTCTCATTTGTGTTTGTCTGTAATTTTCTATTTAATGGTTTTGTAATAAACGGATTTGGCAGACGCTTATATTCATATCATCAAGTGACATTTCATTTCAT